AACAGAGGGTGTTTTGTGTACAATCCTCCAGATTGAACAAGGAGCAGCAGCTTGAAATATTCTAGAAGCCATTAACTCAGCAGAGACATCAAATATAACAACCGCCTTATTCAAATTAACATTCCACCCAACAAGATGCAACTCTCCAAGCGCTGCAAAAAGTAGCAATGAAAGGATGGCCTGAAAGCCAAGGACACTCCTTTAGTCACAGACTCATTGGGAATACAGAGATGAACTGATATCCTTAGGTTGCATGTTGTACAAAGGAAGTAAGAGTCATTATTTCTGAGGAGTTGACAGTAGAGATGCCAAAATGCATCCATACAAGCCACCAAGGCATTTGAGGAAGGCAGTAGAATCACTTTACTGGCCAAACATAAGTAATTAAATATAGGACCTTGTGAATCAGTGCTGCGTTTTGTAATAGATACAAAGCTAAGCAAGCTAGAGAGCTACTGATGACACACGACATTCCAGGAGTCATCGGTCCTTTTACTCTCATAGGAAGGTTTTAAAAAAATCATGAAAGGTGGGTGTGGCTAGCTGGGCCAGCACTTATTGCCCATCCCCAGCTAACCTTGAGAAGGTGGTGGTGGTGAACTGTCTTTTTGAATCACCGCAGTCCAGGGGCTGTTGGGAGATCCATAATGTTATTGAGAAAGGAATTCCAGGATTTTGACCTAACGACAACAAAAGAAAACAATATATTTCCAAGTCAGGATGGCGAAAGTTTGGAAGAGAAATGATCATCTTGTCACTGTAGACTAATCATTTCGACTACTGGGAGGTAAACCAACTGACTTCAACAACAACCATTGGGATGATATAATGCCTGAAAGAACACTTCAGTTGTTATGGAATTCATGACATTGTGAGGAACAAGAATGGCCCTCCTCTCACAAGACAAGAATTCAGGTGGATTACAGAACTGAGAAATTCAACACCGTACATCATCTTCACAGTAACCCAATCAAATTGAAAAGCTGAGGCAGCAGAAAAAAATAATTAAAAAAATTTTAAAAATCAAGCAATCCAGCACAGATTGTATACGAGGCAACCCTCGAGAGGGGAAATACCCCTACAGAAGGTATGGGAAAGTAGTCCAGTACAAAGACTAATGTCACACATTAACTGGCATTCCAAAAGCAAAAATGCTACAGAAGACGGATGTAAAAACAGGCAAAGCGACAAAATCAAGGTGAAATGTTGGCAAGCCAAATTTTATTTTGTCAAGTCTGAACACTGGAAAGCAGGCAGAGTACAAATTTTCAATGCTCTCAACAAGAGTCTGCACATTTGCCAATTTTTAAACCTGCACAGTAACTATGCAGGTCACCTTAATCACACGCGGTGTAAGTGAATGTCCAAATATACTGTCACAATCACAGGCATCATTGCACAACTGGAGAAGCAGTTTCTTAACTGTCGGCAGCCAATCTAGAAAATGTGAATTCACCATCTGCATAGACTTTCATAGATCAACTATCAGTCCTGGTGTCCTCAGAACCACAGCAACAGAAATGGAACAGCAACAAATACTCCAGCGACAACAAATGACATGGGAATGACACTCCCCAGAGAACTTACATCACCCAGATGAACAGCCAACCATAACATGCATGTGTACAATTAGGAGACAATCACAATAAGAACAGTTTTGCGCACAGTGGATAACTTGGGTAATTCATAATGCAAAAGAGGATGTCTACGATTATTTTTTGTGTTTGTGTATGAAAACAGGATATTTGGGATAGAAATGCAATGCTATACTAATACTGACATGCTGTAGTCATGTGATCTCTACCAAGAGAGATTAACTGGGGCCACCATTGTGCATGCATTTCAATAGTGGATACAGTGCAGACGACATGTCACATTCAAGTCTGATCCTAGAAATACAGGTACTTTGCAAAGCTGATTGCAGATTTAAACTTCCTCATACAGGGAGAAATTAACAGGCAGGGTGGCACAGTAGCTCAATGGTTGGCACTGCTGCCTCAGTGCCAGAGACTCAGGTTCGATTCCACCCTCGGGTGACTGTGTGAAGTTTGCACTTTCTCCCTGTGTCTACATGGGTTTCCTCTGGGTGCTCCAGTTTCCTCCCTAAGTACAAAGATGTGCAGGTTAGGTCTATTGGTCATGCCAAATTGCCCATAGTGTTCAGGGATTTGTAGGTTAGAAGGACAAGCCATGCAAAATACAGCGATATGGCAGGTGGGATGTTCTTTAGAGGGTCAGTGTGGGCTGAATGGCCTGCTTCCACACTGTAGGGATTTTATGATAAATACTACATGCAGCTCAGTGCTGTTTCATTCAGATATTTCATTCATAGCAGGAGAAGTAACAAATGGAAAAATGACTTTCAACATTCCAGGATTTTGCAGGCAATTTTCTATTTTGGAAAAACTTAAAGAAGTAGCCAGTACTCACTAGGAATTATGTCAAACCTTTATACTAATCACATAAATATCAGCATCTCAAATATTTCAGTAAACAATAGTGCCTTAGTAGCAATCTTCCAAGACGGTGACATAAATGAGATTCTCCTAACAGTTCACAGATTTCAAAATTTAAAGGACATTTGAAGTGTGGCAAGTAGGTACTAGAATCTTGTTCACTTACTATATTTAGAGGACCAACTTTAGTGAAAACAATTTATATAGCAAATTTTATAGCAATATCTGATAAACGCACACCTAATCAACTAATCTACACCCACGTGCAATTCCACTATGTTCCATGGTTTGAAACACTGGATGCAAAATGGTTAAATTGAGTAGTAAGTTAGCACCTGTTTATCTTTCGGACTGGGTCTCTACCCAGTCGAGTGTTATGGGATGAAGATCACTCTGCTGATTCCAAATAAAATGACACTAATAGTCTTATTTTAAATCCTACTGGGGACAAAACCACCCACAATTCAGTGGCGATTTCCAATCTTAAGCATGATTAATACATCAAAAAAAAAAATCACACTACCGCAGTACGGTGCTCATTAATTTGGATCAGGATAAATTATTAAAGCAGAGAAGAGAGATTTAAATCCATTCTACGCAAGAACTTGGAACGCCTAAAACTTGGATTAGGGACAAAGTGCTTTTACTGTCAACACCATCTTGGTGAACAGTAAAATTCATTGGTATAGTTCAGATTGATCCATGACTAAACCAATGCAAACTATTACTTAATCAATTGTTTAGTTATATTATAATATTATGTATTATATTAAATATAGTAAATTCAGGGCTAACAGTAAATTTCAGGAGAGGAATTTACTTTTATGTAAAATATACTTTTAATACACGTTGTATTCACAGTGAATTTCTGTATAATTAAATGAGTTATTGTGGAAATATTTGCCAATTAGCTAGGTAATTAGTTAATAGGTTATGCGTTTATCTGGTTGAACTGTCCTATGATTAAAGAAAACAATACGAGCTATATTTTTAAAAAAATTTATGCTAACACATACACAGTAAATATGCAAATTAGCAATTTGGAAAAATCATTAAAATTTTAAAGAATACCAAACTGGTTCAATCAATTTTGTAAACAGAAACGAATCTTAATTAACCATGTTTCCACTAGCTGCAGGAAAAATCATATGTAAATTTGCAGCTCCATTCAATTACATTTGTTCTGAGAAGAGTTCAATTTGTTTCAACTTCCCCACCTCCAAATGAAGCAGCTGGACCTTATCAATGATGTAACAGACTCCTGTGACACAGTGGTAGTGTCCCAGCCTTTGAGCCAAAAGACCCGGGTTCAAGTCCCCCGTGCTTCAGATCATGTATCAAAACACATCTGAACAGGCTGATTATGAAATATCTATATCTCCCAAATCCTATTTGGTATTGGGTCCACATGTTCACCTCCAGTCTAACAATTCTGTTAACAGTCTCTACAACATTTATTTCAGCAGATTTGCTGACATTTTAAATAGTCTGTTTAAACACTAGCAAGTTGCATGTTAAACAGTCATGCTGTTTAAATTTTAAATTTGACTGTTGGACTTAAAACATTATAGGCTGCCAAATATAGGTGTTGACCTATACTAGACTATTAATTCAGAGACCCAGGTAACGTTCTGGGGACATGGGCTCAAATTCCACCATGGCAGTTGGTGAAGTTTGAATGCAATAAAAATTTAGAGTGGAGTATAATGATGCTTGTGAAACCATTGCCGACTGTCAAGAAAAACCCATCTGGTTCACTAATGTCCTTTAGGGAAGGAAACTGCTGAACTTACCTCGTCTGGTTTACAAGTGATGCTAGACCTATAACAATGTGGTTGACTCTTAACTGCTCTCTGGGCAATAAATACTGGCCTAGCCAACCACACCCAGATTCCATGAACAAATATAACAAAAATTGAATTGTTAGACGATAAACTGCATTCAACAAACATTTCAGTTGTCCAGAAATCAACAGTTGGCATTGGAAGAAAATTTAGCAAACTATCTTGGTCTTTACTGAAAACAAAATGTGGAGATCTCAGCGGGTCAGGCTGCATCCATGGAGACAAAGCAAGCTAACATTTTCAGTCCAAATGAGTCCTTGGGTCTGTGATCGCCAGCATTTTTTGTTTTCAGTAGATTCCAGTATCTACAGTAATCTGCTCCTATCTTGGGTCTTTAGATGATTAGCAAGGAGGTAGATAAGTTGAACACATCAGCAAAGTAAACAAAGTGTATACTGCTGGAGAGAGCTGAAGCAGGTTAATAAGGTAAATACTGCTACAGAGAATGTAAGGAGAGGCATGACAATCAATAATACAATTTAGGACTTTTGATTACCTACTGATCTTAATTTAGGGAAGGGCATTCTCTGCTACTATGGATAACTGGGGTTCCAACTACACAGCTTATCATTAAGGTTTTGAAGTATTTTTTGGATATTTATTAAAATACTTATTAAAATAATTATTAAATTATTTATTAAAAACTTTCACACATTTATCTTCTACAGAGCATGCAATGACAAAATAAAGATGAACTTACTGTCCAAAACTTGATGAAGTACTGAAGCACAGTTGCCGCAATGAATAAACAATATAACAAAGAATATGCCAAAAAAAGCATAAAATATTTGTAGTTCGAAAATCCCACACAATTATTCACCCTAAAAGGAAACATTTGCTTATTATTAGGTAATAGAGTGCATAGATTCATCAACTTACTACAAACGATTACAATAATCCATAGGTCTAAATAGGTTATGGTAATTCATATTTTAATCTCTGAACAAAATAGGTCATGCTCGCATTGGCAGGCTGAGACTAGTGGAGTACTGAAAAATTCATTGTGTGCGCCTCAATTGTTTACAATCTATATCAACAATTTGGATGTGGGGGCCAATTATAACATTCACAAGTTTACAGATAATACAAAACTTGTCGGAAAAGTGAATGGTTATATTGCAAAAAGACGCTTAAAGATTTAGAGAGACTGAGTGAGTAAGCATGAGCATGGCTGATGGAATGTAATGTGGATACATGTAAGGTTACCTACTTAGATAGAGGAAACAAAGAGGCAGCGTGTTTCTTAAATAGTGTGACATTGGGAATTGTCCAAAGAGACCTAGGAATCCTCATTTAGAAGTCACTGAAAACCACCAAGCAGTTGCAGCAAGCAATTCAGAAGGTGAACAGCAGGTTAACCTTTATTGCAAAAGGATTTGAATACAGGAGCAAAGTCTCACTTTATTTGTATTGAACACTGATGAGACTACACGTAGTCTATGAAGTTCTGGTCCCTTTGCATAAGGAAGGAAATACTTTCATAGAAGAAATGCAGCAGACATTCACCAGTCTGATTCGTGAAATAGTGGGGCTATCCTATGAGAAGAGATTGATGAAACTGTGACAGTATTCTCTGCAGTTTATAAGAATGGGAGACAATCTCATACAGACTTCCAAAATTCTTAACCAGAGAGATAGAATTGATGCAGAAAAGAGTTCCTCAAGCTATGGGATCCAGAATCAGGAGACAGAAATGAAAGTATGAAACAGTATGAAAGGCAAGCCATTTAGGTCTGAGGTGAAAAGTGTGATGTACCTTTAGAATTCTCAACACAAGGAGGAAGTGGAGATTCAGTCACTAAGCAGGTCAATTCAGAGATCGATAAGAGTACAATTTATTGATGCAGTCAAGAAATATGGAAATAGTATGGGAATATGCTAATGAGGCCGATGATCAATCATGATCTAGAATGGTAGAATAGGCTCAATGGGCCAAATGGCCTATTCATCTCTCATGTTCCTGGCAGAGGGTTAAGTATTAATAAAATGTATAGGAATGGCATTTTTATCAATACATTTTTTTGAAAAATGTGTCTTTATTTTAATTTGTTTTCCCATTTTACACCACATTTTTGAAGCAAAACAACCTAGAAATGGTCAGCATCAGTTAGAAAAGTAAGGGAATGGAACATCCATGTACAGAGGGCTGGCAGTTTGAAATTAAAGCTTACTGTTGGGGAAGAAAGTAGTTGTTTAGTGAGTATTGGGTAAATGGTTACGGGTATCTTTTATTTTTAAGGATTAAATTAGTATGGCAACAGGTAGGAAAGTTAAAAAATATAAAAAATGAAACAGTTGAAAAATTAATTTAAAAATTGTTAGTTAAAAATAGATCATGGATGGCAGGACAGGTGACGCATCATGGCTGCCGTATATAGGGCTCATGGTGCCATATCTCAAGCAGCTGTAGCTCAGAGTTTGAGCTGTAAACACTGATGCACCAGGGAGGGGCAAGTTACCTGGATATTTTGTTCCAAGAGGAAATCACACCCCTTTGGATAAGGTCATCTCATTTGGTCAGGGAAAAGAGGGCATGACTGAGTGAGGTAGATAATGGGACCTAGAGGACAGGAGTGTAGAAGCCTCAGCCTTTACAATTGTCCAACAAAATAGAGGTCCTTTCTGCCTACTTTGAGTCCTGCAAAGTAAATTTGCTAACAGTTCATGGCATTGTGGTACAGGAAGTTTTTTAATTGGTATGGGGAGCAAAAGGAATGTAATGATACTAGAGGATGGTATACTGAGGTGGACAGGCAAGATCGCAAGTTTCAAGGCTACGTTAGCCTACCTGGCTCAAGCATTTAGGATATGTAGTTAGGGCTGGACGATAATTTGGATGGAGAGAATTCAGTTTTGTGGTCCATGTAGGTATGTGTCAATAACATAAGCAGGGCAAGGAAAGAGATTCTGCTTAGATAGTTTGAAGAACTAGACACCAAACTAAAGAGCAAAACCTGAAAAGATAATAATCTGAGCCAAGTGTCAACTGGCAAAGGATTCATTAGATTAGCAAAATTACTATATCAACTTAAAGACTAGTTTGAGAGAAGTGGGGACCAGTTCATGGAACACTGGCATCAATATAATGAGCTGTACCATTGGAATGGTTTGTAACCAGCGCTCTAGCAAACCATATAGAGTCATATTGCATGGAAACAGACCCTTCAGTCCAACTCTCTCTCACCAACCAGACATCCCAATCTGAGCTAGTCCCACTTGCCAGCATTTGGCCCATATCCCTGTAGCTCAGGAAGAGGAGAAGACTTATAATCTAAAGAATGGTGGTGAGAGATCAGGCTTTGGTAGACATAGGAAATCAAAAGATACAGTCAAGGCAGGAGTCAAACAGTAATGAAGATCATAGAGTCATACAGCACAGAAACAGAACCTCGGTCCAACTCATCCATGCCGACCAGATATCCTAAATTAATAGCAATCCCATTTGCCAGCATTCGGCCCACATCCCTCTAAATCCATCCAGATGCCATTTAAACATTGTAATTGTACCAGTCTCCACCAGTTCCTCTGGCAGCTCGGTCGATACACGTTCCACCCTCTGCGTGAAAACATTACCACTCAGGTCCTTTTTAAATCTTTACCCTCTCATCTTAAACCTATGCCTCTAGTTTTGGACTCCCCTACCATAGGAAAAAGACCTTGGCTATTCAACCTATCCATGCCCCTCATCATTTTATAAGCCTCTATAAGGTCACCCCTCAGCCTCTGATGTCCAGGAAAAGAAGCCCCAGCCATTCAGCCTCTCCCGAAAACTCAAACCCTCTAATGCCGGCAACATCCTTTTAAATCTTTTCTGCACCCTCTCAAGTTTAACTACATCTTTCCTACAGCAGGGAGAACGGAATTGTATGCAGTATTCTAAAAAGGTGTCCCACCAATGTCCTGTACAGCTGCAACGTGACATCCTAACTCCTATACTCAATGTTCTGATCAATGACGGCAAGCATGTCAAACACATTCTTCACTACTATCTGCCTGTGACTCCACATTCAAGGAAGAATGCACCTGCATCCCTAGGTCTTTGTTTGGCAACACTCCCTAGGGCGTTACCATTAATTGCATAAGTCCTGTCCTTGCTTGCCTTATCAAAATGCAATGCCACACATTTATTTAAAATAAAATCTGCCACTCCTCGGCCCACTAGTCCATTTGTTCAAGGTCCCATTGTAATCTTAGATAATCTTCTTCATTGCCCACTACACCACCTATTTTAGTGTTATCTGCAAATTTACTAACCATATCTCCAATATTCACAACAAAATCATCAATACAAAATGACGAAAAGCAGTGGATCAAGCACTGATCATCACAGGTCCAAAGTGCAACTCTCTACCACCTTCAAGAAGGTCTCCTATACTCAAGACAATTTTGTATTGAATTGGCTAACTCTCCCGGATCCCATGTGATCTAACCTTACTAACCAGTCTACCATGCGGAAGCATGTCGAATGCTTTGCTGAAGTCTATATAGACAACGCCTACAGCTCCACCTTCATCAATCTTGTCATCTCTTCAAAAAAACTCAATCAAGTTAGTGAGACACAATTTCCCATGCACAAAATCATAGGATGGTAGAATGGGACAGGGATAATAAACCAATAGTCATGTCTAGATGTTACAAAGGTTAAAAAAAGACTAAACGCTCTGTATTTGAAAATGTGTAGTACTCAAAAGTAAACAAATTGGTAACACATACTGAAGTAAATAATTGAAATATGGCTGCATCACAACAAGAAGAATAGGAAGCTAGTTGAAGGTGGAAGGGTAACACTGTTTATCAAGTTTGGCATTGGTGCAATTGTTATAAATAGCTTTGGTTCAGCAGATCAGGATGTAGAGTCAATTTGGGTGGAGATGGGGAATGGTAAAGGAACAAAGTCACTGCAGGCATCCTAACAGTAAACACAATGTAAAACAAAGCATAAAAGAATAAATATTGGGTACATGTGAAAATGAAGATAATGCAATGAATGTCATCTACATGGATTTTAGCAGGGCATTTGACATGGTCCCAAATGCCAGCCTAGTCAGAAGAAGAAAAACACCCATGATAACGTGACAAGTTAGATCCAAAACTGGCTCAGTTACAGAATTGTACACAGTATTCTAAAAGGTGTCCCACCAATGTCCTGTACAGCTGTAACGTGGCATCCCAATTCTTATATTCAATGTTCTGATCAATGAAGGCAAGCATGCCAAACATATTCTTCACTGCTGTCTGCCTGCGCCTCCACGTTCACTGGAGGCGCACTGACGATGTTACCTAGCAGGGTGACAAAATGTTTGCAACCAAACCGACTGGTGGCTTGGCGAGTACGTCTACAACCTCATTCACAACCCAAGCTACAAATTTTCATGAAAACTTTAAATAAAGGGTAATGTTTCTGCATTAGAAAATGGTTGCCAGTGGTGTTCCAGAGGGCTTAGTATTGGGGCCCTTGCTGTTTGTGGTATATATCGACGATTCAGACTTAACTGTGGTAAGTGTGATTGGGAAATTTATCGATGACACAAAAGTTGGCTGGGTAATGAACACTGAAGAAGATGGTTGCCAACTACAGGATGATATTAATGGTTTGTATGAGGGGGCAGGCAAGTGGTGGCAAATTCAATCTGGAGAAGTGGGAAGTCATGCATTTTGAGAGGGGAAACAAAATCCACCCTAATGACAAATCAATAATAAATGGGAGCATTGAGGTAGGCACAGGTGGTGAGAGACCTTCAACTGCATGTCCAAAGGTCCCCGAAGGTGGCAGGACACAGGTAGATAAGGTGGCAAAAAGGCCATATGGAATGCTTCCCTTCACTGAATGAAGTATTCAGTACAAAAGCAGGAATGTAATGATGGAACTGTACAAGACACTTATTAAGCCACAGCTGGAGTTTTATATACACGTCAGATCGGAACATTACAGGAAGAACATAACTGCGCTAGAAAGTGTACAGAGATTTGCGATAAGTCTACAGAATAATGAGGGGCTTAGATAGAGTGGATAGAGAAGACTCGTATCCTCCAGTGGAGATGACTGGGGACCCAGATTTAAGTTGACTGGTAGATGGATCAGAGGGGTCAGGAGAAAATGTTTCATCCAGAGTGTGGTGGGTGCCTGGAAATTGCTGCTGGTTTGGTGGTTGATTTGCAACGAACCTAGATTTGCACCTGAAGCACAACCTGCAAGGGTTTGGACTAGGTGTTGGAAAGTGGGATGAAGTTTATCCAGCCACCAAGACACAAATGGCTTCTTTGTGTTGCAACTTTTTTTTTTTTAAAATGAATTTATGCTTCTGAAAAGGAGATCTATGCAGGGACGAAGTGAGCTTGGCTGAAGTAGTGAGACTTTGTATCTGCCTTTACCAAAGAGAAGGTACTTTTGTTTCATTTATTTGTTCATGGGACATGTGCATGACCGGCCACGCCAGCATTTATTATCCATCCTTATTTGCCTTTCAGAAAGTGTTGGTGAGTTGCCTTTTTGAATCAGTGTAGTCCATTCAGTGTAGGTACAACCACATTGTTGACAGGAAAGAGCTTCCAGTATTTTGACCTAGCAAAAGAATAGCAATTGCTTGAAATCAAGTTCAGGTGTTGATTGGAGTGAAACCTGCAACTGTGGTGCTTTCATACATGTGCTGCCCATATCCTTCTAAAATGCAGAGGTCACAAGTTTGGAAATTGCTGTCATATTCATAGTGAATGAGCAGGTAATTGAGCCACTGGATGAAGTAAACATTGATAAAGACATATTAGAAAGCCTGGCTTTTAAAGTTAAGATGCATCCAATGAGTAAGTGAGGAGTAGTAGTGGTGATCCTTATTGAATGCTGGGGTGTACTTGAGGGTTTTAAATGTTATACTTTGACTCAGATAACTGAACAAAAGTAAACCAGTTGCTATAGGCTAGTAAAACCTTGACAGTAGAAGAGCTTTGAAAGGTCAATAATTGTATATAATTAACTTAGTGTGCAATGATTAAGGAAACCCAGCACAAACTCAATGGTAAATCATGCTTAATGAACATGGAGTTTTTTTTTTAAAAAGTAAAGACCTGAAGTAGTGTATAAGAACTTCCAATAGGCATTTGTTAAAGCGTCACTGACTGGAGAAATGCATTCAGTGGGTTGTACAGGATTCAAGACTAGCATCATTATTTTTTTTGACGCATATTATTAATATAGATTTGGGTTTTCAAGGCACAATTTCAAAATTTGCAAATCACACAAAACCTGAGAAGTGTTCCGTGAAGAGAATAGGGATAAACTTCAAGACAACAAAGACAGATTGCTGGAATGGTAAATGAAATTTAATACAGAGGTGTGAAGTAGTACATTTTGGTAGGAGGGGGAACCTGGGGAAAGTATATGCACAAATTGTTGAAGGTAGTGGGGTAGGTTCAGAAATTAGTATAATTGGGGTATTGGGCTTTATACATAGAGGCAGAGAATACAAAATAAGGGAACACACTACCGTGATCCCATGCCAATGTTTCTGTCTCAAGCTGACTGCAGTGCTCCAGGGAAGCTCAATGCAACCTGGAGGAACACCACCATGTTCTGTCTGAGTAGCTTCCAGTTTTCAAAATGTAACATCAAGGTTAACAATTTCAGAATGTCAGCACCCACATCCATGTTCATTACCCTCCTCCACACCCCAGATCCTGTTTGTATGGGTTGCTCCCAGTACAGCCGACCCATTTTCAACTGTTCACACTTCTCACTAGCATCCTACTCAGCATTTATCTCCCTCTTGGCTTATCATCAACACAATTTTTGTTTGCCTCACCTCTTTGCACCACCTCTATGTATTCTATTCATCCTTCCTAATCTAACCCCAGCTCCCCAACCAACCCACACCCCCCACCACCTCCAACCTGTTCATCAGCAAAATACCACTCGTTTCCAGCTGCTTTCAATTCTGACGAAGAATCACTGGGGTTGAAACGTTAACTCTATCCCTCTCGCTACAGCTGCTGTGGGACCTGCTGAGTTTCACTAGTACATTGTTTCTGTTACAAAGATTAGGGTATTACGCTGAAGTATTAAAAATTCTGGTTGACTTAAATAATTTATTGCATCTAATTTTGAACACTGCACTTTAGAAAAGAAGTGATGCCTTCAGAGATAGCGTGGAACAGATTTACATGCAATTCCAGGGACGAATGTCTTCAGTTAGAGAAGCCGTTCCCCCTAGCACAAGAGCTGAGAACCAGGTGATCTTAAGGTTACTGAGAAACGAACCAACAGCAACAAGGAAATTTTTTTAAATTTAGTGAGTGACTACGAACTGGGATGCAATATCTGAGAACACATTGGAAACAAAAATAAAGAAGTGTTTTTAAAATGCAATTGGGTAAGCAATAAAACAGAAAAAAAAAAACTTATAACCTACAGAAAAAGGGCAAGTACTGGGACTAGCTGAATTCGTCTTGTGGAGCTGATATAGATATGATGTAGATATGTGTAAATCCATTCTGGGTGTTCACCTTGTAAGTGTAAGAGTAAAACTTAGGGAAATCGCCCCAATTTCTGCTCCTTTCTTAAGGTGAGACACCAGGTTTCTGCAACAAAAGCAAAAATTGCTGGGAAAACTCAACAGGTCTGGCAGCATCTGTGGAGAGATAGTAGAGTTAATGTTTTGGATCCTGTGACCCTTCTTCAGAACTATTTCTGCATCCTTACTGTCTCATTGGAAGTAGAAAAGGGGAAACTCAGAATAGAAATCCAAGTTGTCTGCCAGTACCTCACTGTAATGTGCAGTACTCAAACATACCACTGTTTTACAGTTTTACAAGCAATAATATAACAGTAAAGCCACAGCACAGCTGTGGAAGTAGAAGAGTTAAACTTAGACTTCCACAACGACAACATAAGCTCACAGATGACTAGTCTTGTATTGAAAGCATCAGTGTATGATTACTTTTGCAAGAACAAGGTGTATTCTACTCGTCATCAAGATATAATTACTTTTGGTCAGCCTAAGCACTTTACATTAAATGTTTAAAAGTTAGTTGATATAAACTATATATTTACATTAATTTATAAACTACACATTTTGAAAGTTATATTTAACTTCATGGTCCCCCATTAGCTGTTATATTTTCATACAAGAAAAAAAGACTCCGAATCTCTTCCCTTTTTTGCAATGTCAATCAATCCCTCCTCTGTGAAGGGAAACATTTCACTGCTTCTTCACTGGTTACTTTAAAGAATAATTATAATGTATGATGTAACTACAATGCAAGATACAAACATACCAAGGACAATGATGATCCATTTTTAATACACACCTGTTTAAAAGAAAAAGACAAAGGTTAACACAAAACTAATCAAGTTTTTTCCCAATGAGCCTCCAACTAAACTAAATCAGGAAACTAAACTTGATTTATCCTGAAACCAAAATTTGTGAATAGATAGTGCAGTATGTGAATCTGTTCCTTTGAGATGGAACCAAAAATGGGATTTCTAGCTTTTAGTTTAATTTTTAGTGATTCCTAGTGGTCATATTATTATTTTAGCCTATTCTCAGTTGCACTCAGTCCAAATACTTGGTGGGCTTTCAGCATTTTCTTTTTTGCGATTGGTGCAAAATCAAATTAAACCTCAAGTGTTGCTTCTGAATTCGGAGAATGTTTCCACCTATATGATTCAAATTATGTGTAGTATGTTGCAACAGTTGAAGTAAATTACAAGTCTATTTTAGTGGCATTTACAAGATGTGGTAATCCTAGAGAGTGCCAAATATACCACCCAAACAGCCTCTCATCCTCTTTTTCTACATTTCAAACATTTTTGATTACTACAATGCAAAACAAATTGGGAACAAGAACATGTATTTATATAATGTCCTTCATAAACTCAGGACCTACCATTGCACTTCTATAGTCAACCTTTCTGCACAGCAAGTCCTACAATCAGTAATGAAATAAACGACGAGCTCATCTGTTTTAGATCTCGGTCAATAACTTGATGAGCACGACACCTTGTTTAAATGCATACCAGCAACTGTAAATGTTAACTTTAATGACTGAATGGCTCATTTACCCAGACAGTTGAGATATGACTGGATGTCTTTTGATCAGATTTTCAAAGGATTTTGAATGCATCTGTGGCTGATTTTCTCCCAGTTAGTCTAAAGGCATAAGGGTACAAAAATATTCTGTGATCTATAACCCCATGATGTGTTGAAGTGATTAAAAGTGATGTCTTGAAGATCGCTTTTACGCGGACAGTTAGTGCAACAGAATGCCTTCCGTATTGCAGCAACAATCTAATTACAGTAAATATAGTGTTTATAACTATTTCATGTTCTTTTGTATTGTTTAGTAAATTTGGTGTTTATTCAGAGCCAAAATACATATTCTTCTGTATTCCATAAATCAAGGCTATCATTTGGTGACTTTCAACCCAGTCATATACCAATATGGTTCCTTTGATCTATCACTATGTCTAACCATATTTATCTCTTTACAGAGCTGGTAAAGACATAACCTGGTTCATAAAACTTGATTTGTGGTATGACGACTGAGGATAATGCATATACAACTTGAAACTCCAGAACTGAAGAAACAATTTTACAAGATATTTCTTTACTTATTGTTTAGAGATAAACATTGTTAAAAAGTGGGGTAAGAAGGGTTTGAAAACAATTTGTTAAATCCAAAAATACAGAAACCTATTGCAGTGAAACATGCCTTTTAAATTTTAAAATATGTTCCCAAAAGAATTTGTCAAATAGAATCTGCTGCATATTTTACAAAATTTTAACGATTGAATGTATTACAACCGATCAATAGCATTTATGACTAGAATGTAAAAGTTCAATGTTTATGTACTGCTCAACCAACCCTTTTTAAAAGGACTCCTACTTTTAACATAACCATTTGGTATTTTGCTCAGTCATTAATACATCCCACGGAAAAAGTAATCTTACTCGATGCCTCTTCCTTGCAAAGTTAACCTTACTCATACAACACTAATTATTAAATCCAGTCTCTTTCCTTTGCATTAAACAGACGGCTTAAATGGAGTGGAATAAAAAATATAAATGTTTTAGTCTGAAATTATAACGTTGAACATTATTCTGTTAATTAATTATTTGTGTAACGTAAGTTCCCATTCTGATGGTACTTGTATTGTTGGAACTCCACTAAATGCATTCTATTTGCATAAAAAGAACTTACAGATACAATCTGTATGTGCAGTCTTTCCACTGCTCCTCAAATTATGGGAGACAGCACCAAGTTTAATTTTAAACCATTAATTCTATGCGATGTTGTAGCTGAGACTTGCCGAGTGTGTCTCCTGTTCACCTTGCACTGTGCAGATTTTAATAACTAACTAAATTTGTGATGCTGTAGCACCTCCTGCAAGTTAAGCCTACTGAGCAGTAGTCAAAAATTAGTCTCTCATCCATAATATTGTAAGTATAAAATTTAGAATTCTTTCCTCAGTGCCTACTTTATGAGATTCCTTTCATATTCAAGACCAGTCAAAGCGTACCCTTCATTAAGATTACATTTTGTCCTTAATTAACAATGAGCATGAACTGAACAGAGAGCAAGTCCCAGTCACAGCATCGTCAGTGCAGCAAAAGTGCAGGTGTACGAAAACAAAGTGAGGCTGATTCAGTCCAGTGAACACTTATTGAACAATTTCTCAGCCCATTTGTTAAAAGGAGGTGCTAATGTGGTTGTATCTCTACCGTGTTAGCGCTCCTGTTATGCACTGTTTTTATCTCAGTTTGTGAACTTATCCAGTAGTGCATTAGAGGCATATAGCCAACTGCAGTACTTTACGCATTTTATAATTTACACCCTAAAATAGTGCATCAAGGTTAGCTTTAAAAAGAGAGTAGAAAGGAGACTGATCATTTCCACATAGTGCTGTTCTCAAAATAAAAAATGCCTGAACTTACAAATGTAGAAAAATGAGCTTACATGTCACAGGCAGAGCAGTGATGACATCGGTCAGGTTTAATTACTTGACAGCGATCACAATACCTGATGGCTGCAAAGAAGTAAAAGGCTGTTTGAATAGGTTTAAAAAAAATGAACAGATAAAGTGTGCTATGAATGAGCAATATACAAATTTTGGGTTTGGGAGAATCAACTGTGTCTTCCCTACCTCCAAACTCAAGTACCCAGGACATGAGATGCATCGGAGCACTACCACCTGCTAGTTCCTTCTAAGCCACATAATATCCTGACTTGGAAATATAACATCATTCCTTCACTGTTACTGTATCAAAATCCTGAAACTAATGTCAAATCTTTAATCAGTTATAAGGTTTTAATTGATTAATATGTATATGGAAATCCCCGAATTCCTTTCAACTCACGGTCCTGAGAGAAATAAAGGCTTTATCAGTGTAAAGAAGTAGTGACATTTTAGGTCAGTCAATGCATGTTAGGTGAGAGGCCTTGTTTAGAATCTGAGATAACAAGGTGTAGAACTTGGAGTCAGATGTGCTTTATTTCTAAAGTCGGAATTTATAAAATGTCACATTGACTGTATAAATTGTGCGCTTTTCGAACAAAATAAAATGTATCTGCAAATACAAATTCATCCCATTGATTCACGTGTGTGTGTGTGCATGCAACGAGGGGAGAGAGAGAGCGAATTTGAGAGACTGTGTGCGTGCGCACGCGCACACGTTTGCATCAGCGTGTGAGAGTGACGGAGACAGTGTGTAATGAGGTGGGGTCACCTGTAGTGCGACGTGAACCCAAGATGCCAGTTGAGGCTGTCCTTATGGATACTGAAATTGGCTATGAGCCTCTGCTCAGTAACTCTGCATTGTCGTGTATCCCAAAGTCCGCCTTGGAGGACGTTTACTCAAAGATCCGAGGCTGAATGTCCTTCACCGCTGAAGTGTTCCCCGACTAGGAGGGAACATTCCTGTCTGGCCCACCACCAAAATGGAGCCTACTGGTCTCACGACAGACACAGAGGAATTTATCAGACGAAGGAGACTCCGGGAATGCTTCCAAGATGTTAGCAGTGAAAACAATGAAACAACCAATGAACCAGATCAGTTGATAGAGAGATTCATAGAGGAGTGGGCAAACGAGTTGAATTGGACCCCTTCGGAGAGCTGTTGCCCAGGGCTTGACGGGTATGCTCAAGCCAGAGAATGCAACATCGAGGGCCGAAGGGCCTGTACTGCGCTGTAATGTTCTACATTCTATGTTCTATGTTCTAAAACAGCCATCCCCTACGGACAAGCCCCAGGCATACGTAGAATCTGTTTGAATGAGGAGGAACAAGACAGACACGTGAAAGTGTTGAAGGACACCCTCATAGAAACAGGATGCGATGCTCAATTCATCGATTGCCACTTATGACATGCCACAGCGAAAAACCATACTGACCTCCTCAGAAGACAGACACGGGATACGACGGAAAGGTTACCCTTCATCGTCTAGTGCTTCCCGGGAGCGAGGAAACTAAGCCATGTTCTTTGCAGACTTCAACACATTATCGACGACAATAAGCACCTCGCCAAGATCTTCCCCATGCCTCCACTTCTTGCCTTCAAACAACAGCCAAATCATAAACACATTGTTCGCAGCAAACTACCCAGCCTTCAAGACAACATTAATCACAACACTATACAACCCTGTCATGGTAACCTCTGTAAGACATGTCGGATCTTCGATAAGGACACTACCAATACATGGGAACACAACGCACCACGTGGACAGCAGTTACTCAGGAGACTCAGCCAACCTTCTCTACCTCACACGCAGCAGGCCAGGATTCCCCGATGCATGGTACATTGGCAAAACCATGCAGAAGCTACGACATTGGATAATTGGACACAGCGCAACAGGCACCAGACAGGAATGTTCCCTCTCCGTCGGGGAACACTTCAGTGGTGAAGGACATTCGGCCTCGGATCTTCGGGTAAACGTCCTCCAAGGCAGACTTCGGGATACACAACAACACAGAGTCGCCAAGCACAGGCTGATAGCCAAGCTTGGTACCCAGAAGGACAGCCACAACTGCGATCTTGGGTTCATGTCGCATTACACGTGACCTCCCCAAAGTACACATGCACTGTGTCCCACACGCACCTGCACACACAGTCTCCCACACTCATTCGAGTACATGTGACCATAAAGCTAATTCTAATTCTAAATCCTACAAGCGCCACTGTAGTAGACATTTCTGTCAGCCAAGTGGTGGATAAAAATGAGGTCAAGTAGGTTTTCCTTGTTTTGGTTCTCTCAGTAAACTGACACAGATCTAGTCTGGCAACCATGATTGTACTATTCTGTCCCTCTTAGAGACAGACAACAACAATTATTTGCCCTTGTTTCTCCACAGAGCTTCAAAGAGATGTTCAACATGGAGAGATACTGATTTATCTTCTCAAAATTACCAGCAGGGAAGGTTTTCTTAAACATTAGGATAACGCCTGCTTTAAAAGCTATTGCACAAACACAATAAATCAACATGGAAGCAAAGAGATATATTAAACTAACACAGAGACCAGGGAGTCCGGAACCAGGGGTTACAGTCTAAGGATGTGGGATAGCCAGTTAGGACCAAGATGAGGAGAAATTTCTTCACCCAGAGTGGTGAGCCTGTGGCATTCACTGCCACAGAAAGCAGTTGAGGCCAAAACATTGAATATTTTCAAGAAGGAATCAGATATAGTCCTTAGGGTTAAAAGGATCAGAGAGTCTGGACAGAAAGCAGGAACAGGATACGGAGTTGAATAATCAGTCATGATCACATGGAGTGGCGGAGCAAGTTTGAAGGGCCTTCTCCTCCTATTTTCTATGTTTCAACGTGACTTTAGGATGAAATTTTCCGAGAAAGCATTACCTCGTCTACATCTTGCTACTTGCTTTATTATTCCCTCAAATCTAGAACTGTACTTTACCTCCATTTGCTGTTCTGGTATAAACAGGCAAATCCTTGGCAGCTCTTCTGAGAATTTCTTGCTGTGCTTCTGGTCTTTCTTCTCGATCATATTGTTCCTTATCAGCTTTAATCAATCTAAACTGCAAAAAAAGTGGAGTGATATTACATTCAATTCTAAAATTCATCACAACATTCTCGTTCAGGATCCACTACAAGTCCCATTTTAAATTATGCTGAAGTTCAATCACATCTCCATCTATAAAATTGTTATATCTTTGAACGACCATGCGCACAGACTAATCTTTGGAGACCTCACCAGTTCCCTGCCCAGTTCTAGAACACATGACATGCTAATCTGATAGTGTGAAGTTGAAGGTGCTTGTCGTCACTATTTCCTATAAAGGTACAATATTTAATTTTCCAAGCAAAATACATTGTTTCAGAGGTCCCAAATCTTGTTATCTTCAGCCAGTAAAATACTGGATCTTTTGTTTTTACTACTTCATTGGAAGTTTGCCTTTGAACCACTACACCTTGTCCTCTGGCATGTCTTTCTGAAGTCCTCTTTTGACTTAACACTTCTTCTTGCTTTCAAATGTCTCCTAAGGTTCTCTATTCAACCTTAACTCTTCCTCTTTCTTTCCTTCCTTCTCCCTTGTTTGGCATCAATTGTTTCTTCTCCTGTCCCAAAAGCATTCAAAGATGTGTCTTTATATGAGAGGGACACTGGGAATGTTCTAACATAAACTGCATTTACGTTAAATTCATTTTCATTTATCAATGAATAATAATTGAGGAACTTTCAAAGCAAATTTCAGGCAATGAATCAACAGTCAGGCGTTGCAATTCCTAGTGTACTCACATCCCCAAATGTTTTCAGCAAAAAACAAATGATAGGTGTTGCAAAGTACTGCTAGTGGGAGAGGGAAATTGTGTCCATTACAGATAATTAAGGTGGAAAAGAAGCAAATGTCTTGTTTTAGTCGAGGTCTACCTGTACTTTGAGTTTTTGTTATTTTTTTTCCCCCCCTGTCAGGACAGGGCAATACTACACTTGTCAAACCTTGGCTGTCTTTAATAATGTTAATTAGCCCAGTGTTAATTTCAATACTCTTTGAAATGCTGGAGTCCTTGTAATAAATATACACAGCAGGAGACACACAGCCAGGACAAGATGGGGATAGCAGATTACCCTTCCTGAAACAGCAGACCAGAAGGACTTTTATAATTTTCACAGTAGTTTTCACAGCAGCTTTCAAAATTATTTTTCTGCTGCTAGTCCACTAAATGCAACATTACTGAATTCAATTTCAAAGTTTGCCAAGGTCAGATTTGGACTTATGACTTTTGGATTGCAAAACTGCTTACAAATCAGGCCGGCAAACATGGCAAATTGCAAACCCATTCAGTTTTTATAATTTGTACATATTTTACACAAATTTCAGTGGCATCACCAACTCTTGTATTACTAAAATGAAATTTAGTCTGCATTCATTTCAAGAGGAGACAACTAGGTTCCAAGATTCATTGGAAGGTAGGGAGGGAGTGAGGGCAAAAATGTGGGGCAAGACCAGGGATATGGATGTTCGCATTTAATGAAAGGACGTGATGTATTTTGCTATGCCAAGTTCCTGAAATTTGAAAAGTTTGGTTGGAAAACCTATTCTAGGATACATGAAACACTTGGTTCCCAACAATCTCTACTAAAGGGGATGGGTTTCAGTTGCAGGTTTGTCAATCTTGATCATAAGACTATAAGGTACAGGAGCAAAATTATGCCATTCAACCTATCAGTTCTGCTCCACTGTTCAATCATTAGCTGATGTTTCTCAACCCCATTCCCTTGCTTTCTCCCCATAAACCTTGAGCATCTTCCTAATCAACGACCTATCGCTGCTTTAAATAAACTCAACCCTTGAGAGTTAGGACAGAGATGAGGAGACATTTCTTCATTCAAAGAGTGGTGAGCCTGTGGAATTCATTACCACAGGAAGTAGTTGATGCCAAAGTTGACGCCAAAATGTATTCAAGAGGCGACTAGATATAGAACTTGGGGTGAATGGGATCAACGGTTATGGAGAGAAAGCAGGATTAGGCTATTGAGTTGGACAATCAGCCATGATTGTGAAGAATAGTGGAGTAGCCTCGAAGGGCTTAATGGTCTCCTCCTTTCTTTTATGTTTCTATGTCTTCACAGCCTTCTCCAGCAATTAATTCACCACCTGTGACTGATGAAATCTTAAGGCAGCGATGGCCTGGTGGTATTATCACTGGACTATTAATCCAGAGACCCAGGTCATGCCCTGGGGGATCTGGATTCCAATCCTGCCACACAGATGGTGGAATTTGAATTCAATAAAAAAGTCTGGAACTAAGATGGGAAAAACCTATTTGGTTCATTACTGCCATCCTTACCTGGTCTGGCCTACATGTGACCTCAAGCCCACAGCAATATAGTTGACTCAAACTGCTCTCTGTGTAGTTAGGGATGGGCAATAAATGCTGGCCTATTTAGCGATGCCCTCATTCCATAAATGAATTTTTAAAAACGTTTTAAAGGAGTATCCCTTCATTCTGAGGCTGTGCCCTTAGTTTCTAGTCTTTCCTTCCACAGGAAACATTTTCTGTACAGCCATTCTATCCAGATCTCTCTGTATTCTGTAAGTTTTAATTAGATCCCCCTAACTCATCCTTTTAAACTCCATGCAGTTCAGACCCAGGGTCCTCAACTGCTGTTATGGCAAGTCATTCATCCCTGGGATCATTCTTGTAAACCAGTACATCTTTCGTTAGATACAGGACCCAAAACTGTTCAATATTCCAAATGGGGTCTGACCAGAGCCTTATACGGCCTCGGCACTACATCCCTGCTCTTGTATTCCAGCACTCTCAAAATGAATACTAATATTGCATGTCTTCTTAAATGCCAAGTGAACCTGCACATTAAACATGCATCATGAACTAAAACTCCTAAATTCCTTTGTGCTTCAGATTTGTGAAGCCTTCTCCCATTCAGAAAATAGTCTACACTACCATTCTTCCTTCCAAAGTGCATTACCTCACACTTTCCCACACTGTATTCTATCTGGCACTTCTTTGTCCACTCTCCTAGCCTGTCCAGGTCCTTCTGCACTCCCCATGATTCCTCAACACTAAACGGTCCCTTGATCTATCTTTGTGTCATCTACAAACTTACCAACAACACCCTCAGCTCCTTTGCCCAGATTATTAACGTATAACATGAATAGTTGTGGTCCCACAATGACCCCTGCGGAACTCCACTAGTTACCGGCTAGCCACTCTGAGATAGACCCCTTTATCCCCATTCTACCTTCTGCTAGTCAGCAATTCCTCTATTAATGCCCTTAACACCATGGCTTCTTATCTCATTTAGCAGCGTTTTCTGCAGCAAGTGACAAAGGCCTTCTCAAAATCCAAATACATCACATCCACTGACTCTCCTTTGTCTAACTTGCTCATTATCTCCTCAAAAAATTCTAACAGGTGCATCAGGCATGACCTCCTTTTGACGAAGTTGCACTGACTCAGTCCTAACTTACTGTATACTTCCAAATACTCCACAACCTAGTCTTTAGTAAATGGGTTTTAAACTCTTACCAATGATCGAGGTCAGGCTAACTGAATTACAAATTCCCATCTTCTGCCTCCCTTCTTTCTCAAACAAGGCTGTGGCACTAGCCATTTTTCAGTTCTCCAGAACTGCCCCTGGCCCCAGTGACGCCTAAAAGATCACCACCCATGACTCCACAATCTCCTCGGCTATCTCCTTCAGAACGCTGAGGTGTAGTCCTTCCAGTCAGGATGATTTATCTACCTTCATCGCGGAACAGACTTCAGTTTGGAAACCCCATGTTCAGGTCAGGATAGGAGTCATGGAACTCCCATTGTGGCAGGGACCAGAGAGAGGTGATGCTGGGCAAAAGGAAGGCCAAAGATGTGCTTGAGAAACCAAGAACACTTCTGCCATTAAAAGCACTTATCTTCGGGAGGCAGCAATTCTGCCTCCATTTTGCTGTCAGTTTCTCAAGGTCTAGAAAACAAGACTGATTTAAAAACTTAGCCTTATGTGCACTGACAGTCTGAAACAAGTTAACAAAGCATCCTGCCTTTTAGGACATAAATATGCATTCTTTTCAATCTAATGGATGGCTCGATTTGAGGAAGTGTTCCATTTTAATTTTCCGTAAAGTCAATATTAGCAGCACATTTTCTTCCACCCCCAAAACCCCCCCACCCCATTGGATCCATCAATTCACAATCATTTTCAGAGCGGTCCCTTTCTAAAAAATTGATGTACAGAATTGGCTTAACACTAGGTTCCCAAGAAAGTTTTCCTGTTGTAATCACATTATTCTTAAATGCTCAGAGTTCCAGCAAAGAACACTCAATACACTGAACAGAAGTCAACTGCAGCTCACTGAATAAATGTGAGACACAGCCACAATTTGTTCTTGCTGAAGAACTCAAACATAAAAACACTTCAATATAGAGGTGTCACTCAGCAGGGTAGTGTAATCAAGAAACACAAAATTAATAACCATATCTATTAAATCAGCTACATGTTAAAAATCCTTCCCATCAATTCATAAAAAGGGAAAGGGAATAAAGCAATTTAAAAATTCAGTTTCATAACCCAGTCAATATTTCCTGAAAAGAATGACTTGCATTTCTCTAGTACCTTTCATGATCACAGACAACCCGTAGCATTTTATATTTACAGTTTCATCGAATGGGAAGACACCGGCAGTGGTGATGTCAGTTGACTAGTAATCTAGACGCCCAGACTAATACTTTGAGGTATGGATTCAAATGCTGCCACAGCAGCTGAAGGAATATAGTTTTCATCCTATATTATTGTAAGCACACATCTGGTTCACAGAAATAAATGCAAAATACTGTTCATACAGGAGTGTTCCAAAGATAGGGTTCAAAATGTTAATACTGTTTCTCTCTCCACATACACTGCTGGACTTGCTCAACTACTTCAGAGTTTTGTTTTTATTTCTGGTTCACTGACATTCTTTACGGAAGGAAATCTGCCATCTCTGTCTGGTCTGATCCGGATCCACGCAACGTGATGGACTCTTATCTGCCCTCTGAACTGCTCTCAAATCATCCAGCTCAAGGACAACTAGGGATGAGCAACAAATTCTGGCCTGGGTGGTGATTCCTGCATCCCATGAAAAATTATAAAAAAAAACTATGTGGAATTTCACTTCTAAATTTTATCTGAATCTCGTCCAGTTTCAAATGAATCAAAACACACTAGCAGACCGCAACAGTTGCTCAAGAGAGCACATACTTGGAATTTACATATTCTGGATGCCATGAACATGTCAAAGTCCTTCTGAAGTTTTACATACACTGCCTCTCAGTTTTCACTTCTCCCAAGTTTGTATCATCATAAACTTTGAAACTTATCCCTGCACTCAAGATCTGGATCATTTACACATATCAGGAAAAGCAAAGCCAATTATGGCCCCAGGGAAATTGCACTACAAACATTCTTCCAGCCTGACAAATACCCATGAATTATCACTCCCCATTTATCTATCAGCCAACTTTGTTTCTGTGTTGCTACTGTCCTTTTTATTCCATTTCACAACTTTTTTTTAAAAAACAGTATGGCATTGTATGGATTGTTTGGAAGTCCACATACACACCATCAACAGCTCATCAACTGTTGTCTCTTCAAAATCCTCCAGCAAGTTAGTTATACATTAATTTGCCTCAATTTGTTGACTCTTCTGAATCAACCCACATTTTCTTCTTCATTCATGGAATGTAGATGTATTCATTCACTGGCTAGGACAACATTTATTACCCATCCCTAATTGCCACAGGTCTGGAACCACATGGAGGCCCAACTAGACAAGAATAGCAGTTTCCTTCCTTAAAAGACATTAGTGAATGAGATGACAAGGTGTAGAGCTGGATGAGCACAGCAGGCCAGGCAGCATCAGAGGAGCAGGAAAGCTGACATTTCGGGTCTAGACCCTTCTTCAGAAATGGGGGAGGGGAAGGGGGCTCTGAAATAAATAGAGAGAGGGGGAGGCGATGATAGAAGGTGGATAGAGGAGCAAATAGGTGGAGAGAAGACGGTGAGGTCAAGGAGGCGGGGATGAAGCCAGTAGAGGTGAGTGTAGGTAGGGATTTGGGATGGGGATTGGTCAGTGAGGAAGGAGGGACGGGTAGGTGGGAGGGAAGACAGACAGGTCAAGGAGGCAGGGACGAGGCTAGTCGGTAGGAAGTGGCTGTTGGTCAGTGAGATGGGAGAAGCGGATAGATGGGAGAAAAGATGGACAGGTCAAGGAGGCGGGGATGAGATGGGTTTTTCCTGACACTCCACATCAATTTCATGGACATTGTTTGACTCTTAATTCCAGATTTTTAATTGAATACAAATTCCACCATCTACCATGGTGGGATGCAAACCCATATCCCCAGATCATTACTGGGATTACTGGATTAATAGTCCAATGATAATATTATTAGGTCCCTCAATTCATGTGACTATTAATTTAAAGTGACTGACCTGTAATTGTGCCAATCTTTACAAATGATTTTGGTCAACGACAATGTTTGTACTACTCCAGCACTACACCCTCAAATCCAGGGGAAATTGAAAGACAATTTCCAAGGCCTCTCCAACTTTTACTTTCTTCCTTCTCATCCAGTCCCACTGTCTTAACAACTTTAAATACCAACAGCTTTTCCGATACCTCCTCCTTATCAATTCTAAACTATTCTAGTGACTGAGTTTTCTCCTTGGTTATCATGGCCTGGACATCATCTGCATCATAGGTAAAGACAAATGTAAACTATTCAGTTAACACATCAGCCCTACCTCTTGCTTCCATGCTAAATCTTCTTTTTGGTCCCTAATTATCTCTACTCCTTTTACCATCGTTTTACTATTGATGTGCCTATAGAAGACTAAGATTTCTTTTTAATGTTAGCTGACAGTCTTTTATCATGATTCCCTCCTCCCCTACTCTGCTCCTTGTATTTGCTTTTATCATCCTCCCCCTTCTGAACTTTCGGCGGCATGGCACAGTGGTTAGCACTGCTGCCTCATAGTGCCAGGGACCCGGGTTCGATTCCAGCCTCGGGCGACCGTCTGTGTGGAGTGTGCACATGCTCCCCGTGTCTGCGTGGGTTTCCTCCGGGTGCTCCGGTTTCCTCCCACAGTCCAAAGATGTGCAGGTTAGGTTGATTGGCCATGCTAAATTGCCTGTAGTGTTCAGGGAGGTGTAGATTAGGTGGGTTATAGGGGGATGGGTCTGGATGGGATGATCTGAGGTTCAGTGTGGACTTGTTGGGCTGAAGGGCTGTTTCCACAGTCTAGGGATTCTATTCTGCATTCAGCTTGGTTCCCAATTGTATTCACTACCTGACATCTGCCTTAAGCATACTTTTCTTCTTTAGCTTAATTTCTAGCTCATTTTCAATTCAGGAAGTTCGGAGTTTGTCCTGTTTTTCCTTTTAGAGGGGATATGCCTTGATTGCACCTGACATGAAGCCCATAGCTAAGATGAATAGCCAAGGTCTTTTCTCCAGGGTGGGGGAGTCTAAATCTAGAAGGCATAAGGTGAGAGGGGAGAAATTTAAAAGGGACCTGACAGGCAAATATTTCCACACAGAGGGTGGTATGTATACGGAACGAGCTGCCAGAGATTGTGGTAGAGGCAAGTACCATTATAATATCTGAAAGACATTTGGATAGGTACATGGATAGGAAAGGTTTAGAGGGACATGGTCCAAATGCAGGCAAATGGGACTGGTTCAGTTCAGGAAACCTGGCTGGCATGGACAAGTTGGGCCTGTTCCGTGCTATATGACTCCATGTCCCATCTCCTCTTTGAAGGTGGCCCATTGTCCAGCTGTTTTTCACACCAAACTTAGATTCCAGTCTATCTAGCCCAGCTCTGTTTTGCCCCATTGATGCCTACTCTCTGCTAGTGGATTATTTGACTAATGTAATTGTCCACTGTCATCCTGATTCTTTTCATATAAGGTATCTCTTTTCCACACTGTTATTTGATCTACTTGGTCAGTTCATTTCCAAGAACCAAGTCTAGCAGTGCCTCTTTTCTTGTTGGAATGGACACGTACTGTTGTAGGAAAGCCTCCTGAACACAATCAAGGAATGTCTGTTTCTTGTTGCCTTTTACACTAAACAAACCCAATCAATATCAGCATAATGGAAGCCTCCATTATAATTACGATATTTACACTTCTCTTATTTCCTTGCAGATTTATTCCTCTATATCCCTCCAATAGGCTGGTGATCTGCAGACTACTTCATGCAATACAATTAACATAGAAACATAGAAGACAGGAGACGGCCATTTGGCCCTTCAAGCTTGCTTTGCCATTCTTCACGATCGTGGCTGATCGTCCAACTCAATAGCCTAATCCTGCTTCCTCCCCATAACCTTTGATCCCATTCGCCCCCAAGTACTATATCTAATTGCCTCTTGAATACATTCAATGTTTTGGTATCAACTGCTTCCTGCGGTAATGAATTCCACAGGCTCACTACTCTTTGAATGAAGAAATGTCTCATCTCCTTCCTTAACGGTCTACCCCAAAAACTCATACTGTGACCCCTCATTCTGGACACACCCACCATCAGGAACATCCTCCCTGCATCTACCCTGTCCAATCCTGTTAGAATTTTATAAGTCTCTATGAGATTCCCCCTCATTCATCTGACCTTTAGCGTAAACAATCCCAACCTAGTCAATCTCTCATACGTCAGACCTGCCATCCTCGGAATCAGCCTGGCAAACCTTTGCTGTACTCTTTAGAGAGCAAGGGCATCATTCTTCAGAAAAGGATACCAAAATTGCACACAATGTTCCAGGTGTGGTTTCACCAAGGCCCTGTACAACTGCAACAACATATCCCTGCTCCTGTACTCAAAACCTCTGGCAATGAAGGCCAACATACCATTTGCCTTCTTTACCGCCTGCTGCACCTGTATGTTTACCTTCAGTGACCAGTGCACATGAATGCCCCGGTCCCATTGCACACTCCCCTCACCCAATTACAGCCACTCAAGTAATAATTGGCCTTCTTATTTTTGCTTCCAAAGTGAATAACCTCACATAATTTCTACTGCATCTGCCATTGATTTGCCCACTCACCTGACCTGTTGACATCACGCTGAAGGATCGCTGCATCTTCGTCACAGTTCACCCTCCCACCCAACTTGGTATCATCTACAAACTTGGAGGTTACATTTTGTTCCTTCATCCAAATCATCAACATACATTGTGAATAGCTGGGGTCCGAGCACCAATCATTGTGGCACCCAACTTGTTACTGCCTGCCAATTTGAAAAGGACCCATTAATTGCTACTCTGTTTCCTCTCCACCAAATAGTTTCCTATCCATCTCAATACACTTTCCCCAATCCCATTTGCTTTAATCATGGACATTAATCTCTTAGGAGAGACTTGGTCAAATGCTTTCTGAAAGTCCAAATATATTACACCAACTGGCTCCACCCTGTCAACTCTACTAGTTACATCTTCATAGAATTCCAACAGATTTGTCAAGCATGATTTCTCCTTCATAAATCCATGCTGACTCTGTCCGATCCTGCCACTGTTTTCTAAATGCTCTGCTATAAAATCCTTGGCATTGGATTCGAGAATTATCCCCATCACCGACGTTAGGCTCACTGGTCTGTAAATCCTTGTTTTATCTTTACTTATCTTTTTGAATATTGGAGTGAGATTAGCCACCCTCCAATCTAGAGAGACTGTTCCAGAGTCTATAGAATCCTGGAAGATGACCACCAATGCATCCACTATTTCTAGAGGTATTTCCTTAAGTACTCTGGGATGTTGATTATCAGGCCCTGGGGATTTATTGGCCTTCAATCCCAGCAATTTTCCTAGCAGCATTTCCCTACTAATATTGATCTCCCTCTGTTCTTCCCTCTCACTAAATCTTGTATCCTCCAACATTTCTGGTATCTGATTTGTATCCTCTTCTGTGAAGACAGAACCAAAATATGTATTCAGTTTCTCAGGCATTTCTTTGTCCCCTATTATACATTCCCTGGTTTCTGTCTGTAGGGGACTACATTTGTCTTTACCAATCTCTTTCTCCTTACGTACCCGTAGAAACTCTTAGCGTCAGTCTTTGTTTTCTGCAAGCTTACTTTTGTACTTTATTTTCACCTTCTTAATCAATCTCTTGGTCCTTCTTTGCTGAATTATAAACTGTTCCCAATCCTCAGATTTTTTATTTTTCTTGGCCAATCTGTATGCTTTTTCCTTGGATCGGATACACTCTCTCATTTCCTTTGTAAGCCAGTCAGTCCCAGTCCTGCCCAGGTGTAACTCTTCCAATTTGTACAAGTTCCACCTCCCCCAGAACCGGTCCCAATGCCCCAGGAATCTGAAACCCTCCTCCTAACACCACCTTTGCAAACACGTAAAATTCTGGTATATCCTGTCATTTCTCTTCTGACTAGCACGTGGCACTGGTAGTAATCCTCAGATCACTATCTTTGAGGTCTGATTTCTTAACTTTCTTCCTGGCTCCCTGTATTCTAACTTTAGGACCTCATCCTTTTGTTTTTACCTATGTCGTTTGTTCTGATCTGTACCACGACTGCTGACTGTTCACCCTCCCATTCAGAATGTCCTGTACCTGCTCTGAGACATCCTTGACCTTAGCACCAGGGAGGCAACATATGATCCTGGAGTCTCGTTTGCAGCCACAGAAATGCCTGTCTATTCCACTAACAACAGAGTCCCCTATGACTATTGTCCTGGCATACTTTTTACTCCTCCCCTCTGCAGCAGTTTGGCTTCTGCTGTTTTCCCCCAAGAGGTCATTCCCCCTCAACAGTATCCAAAATGGCATATCTGTTTCGCAGGGGAATGGCCACAGGAGATTACTGCACTACCTGCCTAACTCTCTTGCTCTGTGTGGTCATCACCCATTCCCTTCCCGCCTGCAGTGAGACCACCTCTTTATATGTGCTATCCATGGCGCTCTCTGCCTCATGGATGCGCCACAGTGTCCCCAGCTGCTGCTCCAGCTCTGAAACTTGAGCTTCCAGGAGCTGTAGCTGGAGACACTTCCTGCACACATGCTGACCCGGCCGGCTGGAACTGTCCCCAGTCTGCCATATGGAGTAAGAGGAGCGAACCAGGACTTTGAGCTCTCCTGCTATGGTTTACTTCTTTAAACTGAGCCTTGGACAGTACTTTATATTAAGTTAAATCAAATCCATATTAGGTTAAATCAATTGCACCCTTCTTGTTCATTAGCTCTAGCCAAATCAATTCAGTCCTTGCACGCATCGAACCATCCTCTGTAATACCGCAAAGTCCTCCTTAGTCAATATGCTATTCCCTTCTGCTGTTTTCCCTTTCCTATCTTTTGTGGTCTTATTAACCCTAACCCAGATATGCCAAAGTAATCTGCGCCTAGAACTCCCTAATCCTATTAGCTATACTCTGTGCATTCATATACACACAATAATGCTGAGTTTAGACTTCATTACTCTCTCACTTACTCTGACTCCACCTATTAACTTACTATTCTCTATTTCTTTCAGCATTTTATGCATCCTGGTATTACTTTTTAGCAATCTCTCCTAGATGAGTTAGTTTAAACTCTTCCCAACAGCACTGAGAAAACACACAAACAACTTAGTCATTTTTCTGAAGAAGGGTCCAGACCTGAAATGTCAGCTTTCCTGCTCCTCTGATGCTGCCTGGCCTGCTGTGTTCATCCAGCTCTACACCTTGTTATCTCAGTCCTGATGCGACTTGTTTGGCTGGTACAGTTGCCATTTCCCCGAGAACAAGTCTCAGTGTTCCAGGAATCTAAAGTACTCCCTCCTGTACCATCTTTCCAGCCAGACATTTACCCATCTTGTTTTTCGTATTTCTGTACTCACTTGCATGTAACATTGGGAATAATCAAGAGATTACTGCTGCAGAAATAGTGCGAACTAATTTTCCCTAAATTCTAATTGCAAGACCACAACCCTTTCCCACATGTAACATTAGTACCAATGCACTACTTCAAGCAATATATTAGCCATGAGGTGGAGATGCCAGTGTCGGTCTGGGGTGGGCAACATCAGAAGGCACATGACACCAGGTTATAGTTCAACAGGTTTATTAGAAATCACAAGTTTTCAGAGTGTAGCCCATTCACCTGATGAGGCGGCTACACTCCAAAAGCTTGTGATTTCAAATAAATCTGTTGGACTGTGACTTGGTTTCATGTGACTTCTGACTTCAAGCAATATATTGTAATTGCATCCACCTTGATCCTTAGCTCTAGCCAAATCGATTCAGTCCTTGAACCCATCAAAACATCCTCCGTAATGTTGCAACTCTCTCTTTAGTTGAAATGTCACTTCCTCCTGCTCTTTTCCCTATCATATCTTTTCTCAGCCACGACCTCTGGTTGTTCACCCTCTCCCAGAAGAATGTCCTGCAGCCATTCCATGACATCCCTGATCCTAGCTCCAGAGAGGAAACAAGCCATCCTGGAGTCACACTGATAGCTGAAGAACCATATGTCTGTGGCCCTGAAGAATCTGTTATCAGTAGTGCTCTTTCACTCTTCTTTCTCCTTTCCTGTACAGTTAGGCAATCCAGCGTCCAACGGCTTGGCTTTTGCTGCACTTCTCTAAGGATCCAGCAACATCACTGATATCGAGAGGAGAAAACTTTTCAAACTTCTGCAATCCATCTTGTGAATGAAATTCCAGGCCAATGAAGATTTTAGAAAACAAAAGATGGGAGGTCAACTAAAGAGCACTGGAATATCATTTCATCACAGATGCTTTGTGAACATCAACAGGCATATTACCATATAATATGAAAAAATATCAGCAAATAGTATTTTAACTCTATCTCTTCATCCCCTTTTCATGCATCCTTACCACTATCACTGCTTTGTCTATAATTTTCTTTGTAGATTACCTTGGTCACAGTGGTTCAGATTTCAGTCAATGGCGAAGCAAAGGTACTTGCCACTGACCTCAAAGAAAGCTGCCCACAAAGTCCTCTGTGGCATGGATTTCCTGCTTCAGATGTCTAGCAGTGATATCAAGTAGGCCAAGCAGCTAATCATATTGAATAATTCTAACAGACAGTAAACCAGGAAATAACTGATCTTCCAAACAATTTAATAATTTTACATTGAATGCTGGAATAAAATTATGTGCGTGTCCTAAGCTTTAAGACAGATGAAATATCAAACTTTCAAAAACATATAAAATTTGTTTTAATCATGAGTGAAACTTAACAATCCAAAATTTATGTACTTTCAGCATGGAAAGATTGCTTAACAATGATTTTGACTCCATTAGAAACTTAGTCAAGTTTAATTTAAAAAGGCTAACATTTTCAAGGATTTTCAGTGTGACTAACAGCATAGAACTGGAAGTTCACATCAGTAAAGGTAATCTCAGAAGTCTGACATGGAAACTTCAACAGCACACCGTGGAGGAGCAGGAAATTACTGACAGCAACTTCTCGAATCTTTCTCGAAACTGTGTTAACTGCATATATGTAAGGCCAGAAGCTGCTGTCCATTTCACAGTTCAAATTATGGGAAAATCTGTAATCATTATCACCACAACATAAAATCAAGACCATTATCATGGTTGCTTTCCCATCTTCAGGGCTCCCTAATGTGTACATTACACCACGCAAACGCACATTTATTCAGCCTGCGACCTACGATAAAGCTAAAGCATCAAATCAAGTGCTCACTCTCTTTGCAGCAAATTGTTTTGTGGGAAAAAAGATCTTTATTTATCATTGGACAAAATGGATTAATGGATATCATGGCAAGTCTGAACAAGGGGTTGTCAGTATAATCTAACTTAAGATATAAATATGTTTCACTTTCCTTTCTTGCCACCCTTACTTCTAACCCTTTTCTTTACTCAGCAAATGCCAAAATTTAACTTGTACTTTAAAATAGTGCCCTTTTCTCCCTCTTTACGCTGGTTTTCTATTACACTGTCCTCCACTTTGATTCTGTCAGCTCATCGTAATAATCTCTGATTACCTCCTCACAGGCTTTGACAAACACATGCCATGGTACCCAGCTTCCATCAATGTGATCATTACTGCAATGAGCACTAAAAAAAATTTTCATATTTTTACAATTTTACAAGACTCCAGATACA